TTTTTTTTTTTTTTTTTTTTTTTTTATATATATATGTGTGACTTTATAATAGTGATCATGTGCTGCCTTCAGTTCTTACCCAAAATCCTCAGCTGCGTCACAGCTCCATGCAGGCCAAAGAACATCCAGAGGGGGCGGGAGTTGTCCACACACACCTGCATACCCACATCGGTGCCGTTGTGGCTGAGGATAACCTCTCCTTCTTGGTTAACCAGGAAACCCAGGATGTCGCTGCTCTGCAGAGGAGTCGGTACCCGGCACACGGCCCAGAATTCCTTCCTGTCCACCAGAGCCTCTGGGTTGTATGGCAGGTCGCTGGGGCGCAGTACTGCTGGGTCGCAGGAGGTTACCCCATAGGACAATGAGCCTGAGCGTGCCGGGCTGGACTTGGTGACCTTGATGAAGACGGTCTCTCCAGTGCGCAAGGGCCGGTTGGTGAAGACCAACGTCCGCTCCTCCCGGGCGTGCTCAGACCGTGCCACGGTCTGCTCGTCAAGCGTCTTGATGTTTGCGCCGCGAAGTTGGTGGAAATGCAGGTCGCTCTCCAGGGCGGAGGGCAGCATGGAGGACTGCTGCGAGTTAAGGGAGTTCTGGGGGATGGGGCAAGAGGAGGACGAGGAGGAAGCTGAGGCCAGGTGGAGGGTGTGGCGGTGAGAGTGGGTGGGGCCTCGCTCCTCCTGCTGCAGGTTGAGATCACACAGGCTGATGGAGAGGCGGGAGTCGTCAGCTTCACGCCGAAGGGAGGAGGAACGCACCGTGGTGAAGGAACGTGGTCGCAGACAGTCCGGAGGAACGATCTCACTGTCTGCAGGAGGAGAGGAGAACAACATGAGTGAGAGCAGCAGTCAAAAGAGCTCTTATCGCCCTTTATTTTGATTAGCAGTTTGCCTGCAGGCCGGCAGCAATCAAGTTTCCAGTGAGCTGAATAACAGCAGTTCATAGAAGGGCTGAATGTGCTACCACACTGACACAGAGAGGCAACTCATTGAAGATTCATCTGATAAATGCAACATTGTCTACAGTGTTTAGTAAAGATATCCATACCTGTAGTCACATAGGAACCCAAATCAGAAAAATGCAAAACTCTGTCAAAGATTATCACACTTTCTAGATTATTGATGTTTCTTTCTACCAGTTTGATCAAATCTGGAGACAAAAATGTCCCATTTCAATTTGGATAATATCCCAAACTTCTGTGAACATCAGTTTTCAGGTCTAGCCACAGATTTTCAGGTAGATTTAGGTCTTTTAGTGGGCCATTCTAACGGATAAAAATGCTTCGGTGTAACGCATTAGACATATTTGGTAGCACTGTTCCCAGCCACGGATGGAAACTAACATTGAACTGAACATAGAGAACAGTCTGGTGTAAGTAGTTGGACCCTGATGGCAAAATTTCTTATCATGTCATTTGTGTTATATGTGAAAACACCATTTTGCTGCCCTAAATGTAAAACAATGTGTGTTGCATGTTTCCTATTAAACCTAGCTTCCCAATAGACTATAACCATACCTTGGAGCCTGGTGTTTACTTCAAATATGTATACCGAGTTTTCTGTTTGAGAACACCAAAGAATCCCTCTGTCATCCATTTTTCTGTAATACTGCGCCATATTGGGCAGGTATCCACAAGATAGTTGACAGACCAAATGTTGGTCCAAATTAAATTAATCAACCTATTGTTGCACAAAGCTAGGATTGTATATACAAGTTTCGTTAAAAATGGCTGGATGCAAAGACATTAAACTCCTTACATTTGTATTTGCTTTGAAATGTTAAAAGTAACGTATCATGTTCAGGACTATAAATTACATAGAGGTTTATGTTTGAAATGGTCAACAGGCACTGAGGGCTGAGATGCAACAATTAGCAATAACAAGACAGTAAGGTTTTATTGCTTATATTTTATCTAAAGTAATGTAAAGTATCAGATATATTCAAACTAATTCAGTTTCTTCACTTCCTATCACATGATGTCCCTGCTGAGAGCCATTTATAACTGACACTTGTGTGTGTGTCTAATAGAGCATGTGTGTGATAAGCTGCACAGTGGTTGCCTACAGTTTCTAGATGGAGCAGCTTTAAATAACATGCCTTTAATAACCTCCCCTGAGTCTGCTGTGTGGTATAATTAGCCTGCCGTCCTAACTGAGTCGCCTGTTTGGTCTGTAGGAGTTTTTGTGGCTTAGGATCACCTGATTTCTGAACATTTTTATTTGCAGAACTCTGATTTCTGGGAAACAATGATCCAGCAGACAAACATATTTTTAATAGAAACACTGAAAAACCCGTGGTAGCTGTAGGGGTTGTGGACAAAAATATTGAAAGTCAACCAGCGCTGAGTGGTGAATCAGGGGAATGAAAAACAGTCATTCATCATCTCTGCAGAGCCTCTTTACTCCAGGTCAGCTCAGAGTCTCTGTATCTAACCAGGACCTGAGTGGCCTGACTCCAAAAAAAACTATTAGCCTCATTAAGAGGCCTGCTGTAGTGACAACAGAGCAGAAAGCCACTTATGATGCTGTCCTGCAGCTGATTGGCACGCAAAACAAAGTCAGACTGTTTCAAACAAGATATCTGCAAATAATCTTAGAAAGACGCTGCTAAATCTAGTCATTAACTACTAAAAAATATTTTTTCTATGTTGCTTATCTTTGTTTATTGTTTATCTTTCTGGATAATAAAATGTGGTTTAAAGCAAAAGTTTTTTGTTACATACTGTCAAGTTGAAAAGTTGGCAATTCATGTCAGTTATTTTCAGTATTTGAGTTAAGGGGGGATGAAGGGGGGGATGGCATCCCCCTTCTTAAAACAAAATCTTAAAAATCATCCCACTTCTTAAATGACCATCCCCCCATACCATCCCCTGTGACATTATATTACGGAATGTGTAAAATTTCTATTATATATTAACCGTAATGGCAATAATAATGCCATTTGAACATTTGGCGGGCTGTGGGCTTACGAGTAGCTTGAGCAAAATAAATCAAATCAAAGAAGTGTCCTACCATTACTATGAAGCTGATCCCAGTGGGTAATTAGTCCCTAACTATATAAGGGCAGTGATAGCCATGCCAGTCCAGAGACTGACTGCAGTTCTACTGTAAGGGTACCTGACAAGTAACAACAATGCATATTGCTTTAGGTTCATAGTCTATATTAATTAGGCTATGTTTGGTACAAAGAACCCCCCCCCCACCCCCGTTTCTTTTTTTTCTTTTTTTTATACAACTAGACTACTGGTTATTTGACAGTAAGAACTATGATTTGGTCAATTTAAGACAGCTGCTATTCCTTTTAGCAGTCGTGCTCACTGAAAATTCACCTTAATGATACAACAATGACAAGAAACAAATTTTCTAATTTCATGACAGAAAACAAATAAAAAGAAAACTTAGGAAGGGTATGTTTGGAGGGAGCCACATTAGAGCTTTAGTTTCTAGAGCTACATATGACTGAACAAGAAGACTTCTAGAATGATATGATTTGCACAGGTGAGACCAAAGTAGAGACACATAGTGATTCTTTTCCATAAAAGTACATAGTTGTATTAATTTGATTTTTTTTTTTTGTTGAATTAATATGCAGCCAAATAAGTCTGATTGCATACGGTTTTTCCTAGTACCCCATCCTGTGTTCTTTTTCTGTTTTACACTTATTTGTTTGCTTATAACAGCAGCGGAGGTTTGACAATAAGCATGTGCGCAGGGGGTAAACAAGGAAGTAGCCTATTGCAGCTAAGCCAGTTAGCACCTTCCAGAAAAGTGTGAAAATAATAAAGAAAAGTCCAATATCCAGAGTGAAACAATGCAAAATAATTTGGTTCCAAGAGGAATGAGACTGGAAAAGTGCTGAGAATACACTCTGAATGTTGGTTTTCACTGATGCAGGAGCTGCAGGAGTTATTAAGCCCATTTTACAAGGTCTATTTCAATAAATGAAATACTTGAGAGATTAAAGGATACCTGTGAATATTACTTTATGTGTTACTGATGAAAAAATGAAACATATGAAGATAGTACAGCAAAATTTAAACCCTCACCTGAAAAGAAAACCTTTCAGCGTCAGCAACATTACTAAATGATGCTTAGGAAGCCATTACTCTCTTTCACACTAAAGAACAATATGTTGACACAACCTCCCTTTCTAAAGTGAAGCTAAACAGAATTAGAAAGCTTTTTTTTTCTTTTTTTCTTTTTTTACAAAAAACGGCTAAGGCTAAGTTTCCAAAGTAACCATTTTGGCACAGCTGGCATCATCTGTATATTTTCATGTATTTTTCCATTTCTAGATCACTAATGGCAATGAGGAGAATTTAATCCAAATATTTTGGGCAACTATTTCAAAATTCAAGCATACACCCTCCCAAGCACACATGTCTACGCCCTCAGTTTCACAGCACCTAGCTGTGTGTGGTTGGATTGGTTGATTCTGACTAATCATACACTAATTAAAACTTCATAACCAGGATCAATGACTTCCATGTGGCGATGGTGGGAGGGCTCATATCTGACCCACTTCACATGATAGCCTTACTTGCTAGCATTAGAGGAGTTTGTAAAGCTTCCTGCTTTATCAGCAAGTCTGGAAATCTTTAATTTCATTTGGGAATAACTTTAATTGTGTTTTGCAAAATCTAAAAATGTTTGTGCCGGCTTGTAGCCTAAATTATACACTCTAATTTGATATAATACATTGCTATATTCTTTGTCATTAATGCATCATTTATCACTGTTGTAGTTGAGTAACTTGATGAGGTACCTTAAACCTTCCCCCTCAGGTTCAAAGGGTTAATGGATGCACAAGTAAACATTCTTTTTCTTTTTTTTGAGTTTTTGCGGCACTAGTGGCTCATTTCTTCGACAGTAGGCTGATAGGAAAGGGGGAGAGACATGCGGCAAAGGACCACAGGTCGGATTCAAACCTGGGTCGGCCGCGTCGAGGACTAAGGCCTTATTGATACATTCTTATTAATATATATATATAAAACATTCTTATTAATACTGCTACTATTGATAGGAATGCTTTTCTTAGTCTCTATAAATTACTCCTAGACTGACTGGTTCTTAACTTGATGCTGTGACCCGTATGCATTTGCAAGGAACCTGAATTTACTTTGCCCTGAGGAGGATTCACTGGAACTTAAAGCCTCTGACAATCAGTTTATATAATTTATATCACTTTGACCACACAGAGCTGTTGGTTTACAGCAATTGTGGGCGTTACATAGTTCAGTGCTAATGCCAGCACCACCTGGTGCCACCTATGTTTATATCTGCTCATTACACCTAGTGCTGGAATTCTATTTAGGACTAAACCCTGTCTGAATGATGCTCAGTATTTATAACCTTATTTTTTTCAGAAAAAAAATGTTTTTTTGTCTTTCTGTGAAGGTATATAAAGAGAAAATCTTAATTTTTTTAATGTTATTTCCTCATTCTAATCGAGCTACATGCAAAACTTAATAGGATCAGCTATCTGAGAGAATTCGTGAAATTTTAAAACTTTTCTTCATTATTGTAAAAAACTAAAACAAGAATTGTGTCTTAATATTCTAAAATGATCTTCAAGAGTCCAGCTTAGCCTTTAAAATCTAAATCAAATTAAACATTTCAACTTTAATTGACAGGTTATCTTGTCACTTTTTCAGATCAACTCACAAAAAACAGCAAATCACATCTATTCACCTCCCCATTTTGGTTTGTTGGTACTACAGAAAAGACCAATGAATTATGCAGCGCTGTCACACAATAACAGATAATGGGAAAGCCGTAAATGTTTCCAGGAGAGGAAAATAAATAAAAA